TGCCCCCCATCTGTCCCGCTCCCTGGCTGTGGTCCTGCCCCTCTGCCCCCCATCTGTCCCGCTCCCTGGCTGTGGTCCTGCCCCTCTGACACAGGGTCCCTCTGCCATGGCCCCGCCCTTCCTGCACCCACCTTCTCCAGCCGCAGCTGCTCGCGCACATCCCGGCTGTTGGCCATCGGCACGGCCTGGATCTGCTCCTGCCTGCGCTTAGCGTCCTGCAGCCAGGCGCCCAGCGGGTCGGCGCTCTCGCGGTAGTAGCGCAGCTGCCGGCCCAGCTGTTCCAGCTCGCGCTGCCGGATGTCGGCCTGTGCCAGCACCGCCTGCCAGCGCTCCAGCAGCTGTGCCGAGCGCTCACGCCAACGCTCCACCTCCACGTCGCGCTCGCCGTGCCGCTGCTGGAGCCGCTCGCCCACCTCCTGGGCTGCGCGCAGCTCCTCACGCAGAGAGTCAAACACCGGCTGCTGAGCCTCGGCGCGGGTCCGCAGCTCCTGTGGGGAAGCAGCTTAGCCCGGACTGCTGGCCCCTCGCCCACCAGCCTCCTCACTCGATGTCTGGGGCTCCCGCTTTCCTTGGCCTCCCCCCCTCAGGCCCCCTCACCTGCCCAGCCGAGGCCCTCACCCCCGCCCCCAGCATGCACTGCCCACACACCTTCAAAGAGGCCTTGGTGGCCTCAAGCTCTGGGAGAGTAGCAGGGACAGCCTGGGCTTCCTTCAGCTGCTCCTCTTGGGCCCGCAGCACCTCCTCGGCGCCCTGAGTACTGCGGATCACCAGGCTGATGGTCTTAAGCCTGTGGACATAGAATACTAAGTGCCAGGCCTGCAGGAGGAGGCACCAAGTCCCGAGGGAGGCAGGCGAGGCCACCTACAGGCCCAGATAGAGCTGTCCAGAGCTCTGTGACCCGTAAGGGCCAGTGATCATGGGCTCCACAGACAACACAGTCTCAGACTGGGGGACACTACGAGCAAAGACTGGCAAGGCTTGTGGGAGGGAGGTCTGAGAGGAGGAGGGGTGAGGTGCAGTCCCAGTGGCCTAAGGTTCTGAGGTTCGAATGGACCAGCTGCTCTGCAGGAGGAGGATGGTCATCCCTTCCCGTGGAATTCGCCACCTCTGAAAACCCAGTGGAGGGTCAGCTATGAGGCAGGTGCAAGCCAACAGCACACAGTGACAAGGAAATACGCAGCTCTCGGGACAGTGCACTCAACATACTTTAAAGCCCCAACCTTGAAACCACATGAGTGTTTCTAAAATAAAATAAACAAAACCTCCAAGAAGAACAGAAGTGGGCCTGTGTGACAGAAGACCAGGAGAATGGGGACAGGGCAGAGCAGGGACAACCTCCACACTGCTGACCCCTCCCTCCTCATTGACCCCACCCTGACCTCTTTCCCTCCTCATTCAGCCTCTTTTCACTTATAACCTACAACACCCCCATCTGATCATCAGGAAATGTCAGGGTACAGACCCCACTACAGTCCACACCTGGCCTTCCTGAGGACTCAATCATTCCCACCCTGCTGCTCAGGACTTTCAGGCCCACGACTGGGTGGGTTCTCCTCCACCCAGGACCCCTCAACCACAGCCAGCCTCCTTCTGTACAGAGCCCCTACCTTCCTCTGTGCATGACCCTCCTATTCTCCTCTGGACAGGACCCCTCATCTTCCTCTGGTCAAGACCTCCCACCCTCCTCTGGGCCAGACCCCCACCTTCCTCTGAGCAGGACCCCCACCCTCCTCTGGGCAGGACCCCCACCCTCATCTGGGCAGGACCCCCCACCTTCCTCTGGGCAGGACCCCCCACCTTCCTCTGGGCCAGACCCCCACCCTCCTCTGGGC